CTTTTCTAATTTAGTTTGAGAGAGCCTGCTGGGACTATAGTGTGACAGAACAGGAACATATGCTGATATTAAGGTCTTCAATTAGTGCTGAAATGTCCGAAATTTATGCTAGTATGTCAGAAGACCAAGCTAGAAATTATGAGATCTTTAAGAAATTAGTTTTCTCAAGATTTGGAATAACCAGCGAAAAATTTAGACAGTTAAGTAAGAAGCCTGATAAGTCATATTCACAATTTGGGGCAAATCTGGTTAGATATTTACAGAAATGGCTGGAGCAATCTCAAGTGCGAACATTAGAGGATATGCAGCACCTCATAGGATTGGAACAATTTTATTCAGCTTTGCCTGCTTAATTAAGGTATTTAGTAAGAGACAAACAACCTAAAACAGTACAACAGACTAGTGAATCTACAGATTTAATATCAGAGATTAGAAATTCAAAATATTCTGAAGTAAAATTGGACAGAAACTTTGAAGAAAGAAAAAGAGAACCTAGAGATTTCCACAAAACCAACAAATATACAGATGGAAGCCATTTTAGAGAGAGACCCTCAGAGCAGTGCCAACAAGGTAAAAGCTTTGAAAGGAAGGGAGACAGAACCACTTATAATGAACAAAGAAATTTAAAAACTTGTTTCGGTTGTGGAAAACCAGATCATTTTATTTCAAATTGTGAATTTATTAAAAACAAAGAAATGGGACAACAGAAAACAGGGGAAGTTGTACCTAAAAAGATGTACTGTATACAGTGGGGTCTTGACTTGAGAACTTAATCTGTATTGGAAGGCGGTTCTCAAGTCAAAAAGTTCTCAGGTCAAATCTGCATTTCCCATAGGAATGCTTTGAAAACCATTTGATCCGTATCTGCTCTTTTCCGTCCATAGAAACTAATGGGAAGCTGCTATTCCGCCTTCGACCACTAGAGGGGGATATTTTGTTTCTTTTTTTCGTAGGTCAGGAAAGCTTCAGGGAAGGCAGGGAAAATACAGTCCAGGCAGTACCAGGCAGTCTGAAGACTCCCAATCCACTCTCTAAACGCTGGGAGGAGTGAGGAAGCAGACAGGCACCCTTTTCACTGGCCAACAGTTAACTGAAAGTTCACTTTTTGCACTTTCCCTGCCTCCCACGTGGGTTTTTTTCAGTTCTTAACTCAAATCTAAGTACTTAAGTCAAGTCAATATTTTCCTAAGAGAGGGGTTCTTAAGTCCAAATGTTCTTAACTCGAGCCGTTCTTAAGTCAAGACCCCACTGTACAGTACATGGCCTTCAGGGAAACGATCACCCTTATCAGTTTTATTCTGCCCAACCCTTTCAACGGGTTGCCCAAGCTCTCTCTATGTCTGCTTAAAAGTAAGTCCCCGTTTGAGTTTGATAACACTTATTCCCAAGAACATGAACACAGGATTCCACTCTTGGGTCTATCAAATACACCAGTTGGCATTTCCAACGAAAGCAGACCCAGTGGAATCAACTGCTGAAAGGGGACTTCTGTAAATCTCATGAATACAATGGGCTTACTCTAATGGAGAGGTCCCGCGGGTGACGAGTCTGAAGCTCCAGCCCTCAAAGATCTCCATTACGCACAATTGACCCCCCACCACCATCCCCAGTTCTGAGCGGTACCGCCACACTCCCACCTCTCGGCCCCCGCGCTGACTCCGGACAGCGGCGGGAAACGGGGTCGCCAGCCGTCAGCGAGTACCGCGCCGCCTCTCCGTCGCTCGGCAGCGGAGGGCCCGCCGCCT